TTGATTGTAATAATAAAATGTATAACAACATTGAGAATTTTGATCTTTATGGTTCATCATTAATTAAAATTAATAATTATTGATACCAAAATTATCATTAAAATTCATTTAAATCTATAGGAGCTAATATATTAGGAGCTGCATGAGAAAAAAAAGGATTAATAACAACCTAATCATTCAAACCGGTTTATTACTGGTTCACACCGGTTTTTACCTGTTTTCATGAGTTCACACCGATTTGACCGACTCTCTACCAGTTCAACTTCTTCCTGGTTTAGTATCCAAACTAAACCGGTCCACTGACGAGTTCACCGGTTTACTGGTTGAACTAGCAGGTTCGAATTGGTTTTTTGTTCACTGCATATATGATATATGATATGATATGATTTAAAATTCTCAAAAAGTTTTGACAAAATCGTAACTTTTTTTATAGGAATCATGGCTTTAACCACAAAAAATGAAAAATAAAAATTACCAAAAACATGAGAAAGTGGAGAAAGTGGGTAAAAGGTGATGGAAGTTACTTTAACTTCCCACTTAATTGTAATTTTATTCAAAATGGGAGATGATATTATGATTCTTCACATTGCTTATCACAACGATGAGCACCATGTGATCATCACTGTAATGCAATCTAAACCATCCAAAATCTAATATGAATGGTTTAGATTTAAAATTTTTAATATACAAATTTTTAATGATACATTTATTTTTTAAAGATATGTTAGTTATGATGTTATATTTATTTTAAATTATGTATCTATTAAAGCAAAAAATTGATTAAAATATATAAAAAAAATTAAATTCAATTTTGAATCATCTAAAATCAATCTGGATGGTCCAAATTGTGATGAGCACTTCATGCTCATCATTGTGATAAGCATGGAATGTGCTCCCTCCTTCATGTGGCCATCAGTTTTATGGCAACTGAGATCATGATAATGAGAAGTGGAAGTTTTTAGAAAGCAAAATAAATAAAATATCCCCTAGAAAGCCACGGGTAGGGAGATATTAGTTAAATCACGACTGTAACTACAAAGCGTAAATATAGGATATGAGTTATATAAATATGATAATAAATTTATAGATAATAAATTAGATATAAATAAAAAATCTTTATAGTTGTTTATTTATTACTAAAACCAGCCACGTTAACCAATTTTGTTTATGGCAAAAAAAAAAAATTGCATACACAATGTTACAAGTTTTGTTTCGTTGTATTTCCATTTTGATCTAAAATTAATATTTTTATTTACATAAATGGTAGCAGAAGAGGTTGGAGCAAATAATCTAAATATACATTACGTAATATATTTCATAATCACAAAGTTAAGAACTTAGAAACATTACGTAGCAACGTGTGACCTGAAATCTAATCTATTTAAAAATATAGATAAGAAAAGTATATATTTAGACTTAAGATTGTAATCTGGCCACACACAAAAAAAAGACCCAAGATCATATTCGCACAAGAAATATTATATATAGTTTATTTTGGAGGATCATAAACAACAATGGTAGCAGAAGGGGTTGGAGCAAATAATCTAAATAGACATTACGTAATATATTTCATAATCACAAAGTTAAGAACTTAGAAACATTACGTAGTAACGTGTGACCTGAAATCTAATCTATTTAAAAATATAGATAAGAAAAGTATATATTTAGACTTAAGATTGTAATCTGGCCACACACAAAAAAAGAACCCAAGATCATATCCGCACAAGAAATATTATATATAGTTTATTTGGAGGATCATAAAAATTGCAATTACATAAGAGGATAAAAAAATCAACATATAACTTTAAAAAGCTAAATTTCACGTAGCTAAATTAAGCCTCGTACATTACCATCTGCATTACCTCCCCACATTCTATTTTGAACAAAAAATAAAGTTTATCCAACAAAAAATTCAAAGGAATTATTTTTAATTCTTGTAATCAATTTTAGTGAGTCATAGAAACAAAAGTTCCATATAATATTATTACTTATTTACAGTCGCAACATAAATAATTTTTTTTTAGCACCGGTTCAAAAAAATTAATTGACATCCCTTAATTATGCACTACCATGCTGGTTGATTAAAATCATTGTGTGTTCACGTTGCACTGAAGGAGAAAAACATAAAAGACATGGAAAAATTTTTTTAAAGAAAAAGAACTCCAGAACATATAATCCCTTATGTAATATGATTATACTATAATCTATTATGCCATGGTTAATATACACTAAAAAAAATGAGTGAGTAAGAATAATAAGTTAAACTAAACGTTGAGAATGAATTAATATTCATGTAAAACAAAGATACATTAAAACGTAGATAAACATAAAAACTGTATTTGACGAAGAAGAACGAAAATAAATGCCTAATAAATCCAGCGATATTTTTTCAACATATACAAGCAGATCTTGCATATCCTGAGGTAATATATGTAGAAATTTTAAAGGGAATATAGGGTGAGTTATGTGTGAGTTATGTATTTATTTCTTATTAAGCAATACTTAGAAAAAATAACTCATATATTAACGCATTAAATTTGATCGATCATATTTTTCAACATGAAATTTTTTTAATACATGCAAGTGAAAAATAACTGCATTTGAAAGATTATTTCTTAACACGAAATATGAATAGGGTGAGAAATATTACCATCAAAATTAGAAATACAACGCATTAAATTTGTTCCACGTAGGTAAATTAAGCCTCGTGCATTACCATCTACATGACCTCCCCCACATTCTATTTGAAGAAAAATATAATTTATCCAACAAAAAATTCAAAGGAATTATTTTTAATTCTTGTAATCAATTTCAGTTAGTCATAAAAACAAAAATTCCATATATATTATTACTTATTTATAGTCGCAACAGAACTAAATTCTTTTTTTTTGGCACCAGTTCAAAAAAATTGATTGTCGTCCTTTAATTATGCACTACCATGCTGGCTGATTAAAATCATTGTGTGTTCACTGCTGCACTGAAGGAAAAAAAAGATAAAAGACATGGACAAAATAATTTTTTTTTAAGGAAAAGAACTCCAGAACATATAATCCCTTATGTAACATGATTACACTATAATCTATTATGCCATGGTTAATATACACTAAGGGAATGAGTGAGAAAGAATGATAAGTTAAGCTGAATGCTGAGAATGAATTAATATTCATGTAAAACAAAGATACACTAAAACGTAGATAAACATAAAAACTGCATTTGACAAAGAAGAACGAAAATAAATGCCTAATAAATCCATTGATATGTTTTCAACATGTACAAGCAGATCTTGCATATCCTGAGGTAATATATGTAGAAATTTTAAATATAAAACGTTATTACCTATAATGATTTTTGTATTGTCATATATTATATATAAGGGACCAAATTAATATCTTAATAACCTGTTTTATTTTTTGCTAAAAAAATTAACTTGTTTTATTTTTTCCATTTAAAAATAATATGAACTCCTAATCCATTAATCAGCAATTGACTTGGGAAGTGGTTATTGCCCATTATGAAAAAACTGTCCATGGCCACAACAACCCACTACCCATGTAAATAGGAAGAAGTTATTATCAAATAACTAAAAAAATAAAACATAAAAAAAAACACAAAATCAGCTATTATCTAAGGAAAACATAAATGAAAAATAAAATTTTAAATAAAAAAACGCTATCACTTGTAATGAGTTTTTATTGCCATATATTATGCTTATAAAGGAATAAATTAATATCTTAATAACCTAAACATACCCTAATAAGCAATTAGGGTAAAACATAACACGGAAAATATATCCAAAAGTAGGTTAATCAGAACATTTTATCAATACATGGGTAGTGTGTTAATTTTTTTTTAATTCAGAAAACGTAAATATGATGTAGAAAAATAGTTACCTTTTTTCTTGGGAAAAGGATACGCGTAACAGAAAAGAGGACATTTCAAACACAAGAAAAAATTTAATGTTAACTTCAACAATTAAAATTCTTTGAGAGCACCAACCCAAAAAAATTGAAATATACAAAATAATGCAGTCAAAAATTGAAATTACACAATCCCACATAAAATATAAATTTGAATCACCTGTAATCAATAGTGCAAATCCCAGGCAAATGACTTAAACAGACTCATTAGCTAATTCGTCAAAAATAAAATGAATACCAGATAGGGAATAATTAATTATTGTATAAAAGGCAAAAAAAATTAGTGGTGGCTTGGAATATTGTAAACAAAGTTGGCAATAGAGCAAATCATCAATTTGCTTAGTTTTTTAACTGCTAATAATAGGCTAATTGAAATCTATAGTATTTATCATATTAGAAGCAATTTCTTTCTTTCTTTCTTCTTTTTTTTTTTTTGCTTTTTTTGACACTGTTGTCGCAAACACCCTACCTTAAGTCGAAATTTATTAAATTGTTAGTGGGCCTAGAAAGAACATGGTGTGTAAGATATGGATAGATTTAGCTATTTTTAAATCCACTGCTCCAAACAAAAAAGAAGAAGAAGGAAGTCCTACAAGTGGATAATACAAATAAATACATATGCCATGCATCCTAGCTATAAGCATTAAATTTTTATTAGCATTTAAATTTATTTTTTTAAGTCTGTATAAGCATCTCAATAGACTAAGGGGGAAAAAAAAAAACAAAAGTCACATCATTATTTCATATGTTATTTATAATACAAGTAGGTAAAAAAAATATATATATATATAATATGCATGAATAATAAAATAGACGAAATATCGATCATATTTTTCTTAATGGTTCTAGGACGAAATGTAAATTACATAAAATAAACAAATAAGTATGAAATGAAACCAACGAAATTGTTTGACCATTATAAAAAGCATAATTGTCTCTAAGAAAATGACCAACGCACATAATAACTGGAAAGAAATACATAACCTAAAAACATATTAAAAACACCAGATTAGGAATAAGAGCTAGAAATGATATTAACAACATGACAGAAAGTTTGAAATCATCAACTAAAGCCTATTCTTCCTAGATTTGTTTGTGTTTTGCTCTGCGGCGTCTTGCAAATGATGTATTATTTTCATCAGCTTCAAGATTTCCACCAAGTGGATGATTTAACATATTTTCAGTACCGTTCTTCGCACCATTATGTCCAGATGTAGTAGAAGGGATTTCCACGAAACCAGCATTGTGCTTGCTACTCTTTACCTCAACTTGACAATCAGTTGATGGGAAATTACCAAATGGGTTTGCCTTCTCAACATTGGCAGTGTTTACAATTGCAACTTTAGATTCTACTATGGACTTCATTGCTTTGAAACCTGGGCCTATTGCAGTTGCCACTTGGTATGTAGAGGTTGAGTCAAACTTTGATAATTCAAAGAAATTTGCATGCACAGTTTGATTAGCAAAAGACCTTGCACCATCAGATTTCACTGCTCAGTGTTCTGCATAAATGTAAAGATTTAGATGTATAGAAACATATGTATTTATTTGTGTAATGCATCCAAAAATAAATAAAATGATATAATAGAAAATGAAATAGCTATACCTTTTCTTCTGTGAGACCAACGAAGTACAACCCTCTGATGCAGTGTCTTCATAAGATGTGCTCAAGAAAGACTGTGTTATGGCTTTATCATTTGTCAACCGAGTAGCTACACACACATTGGAATTCCCATTGACATAATCTCCTGGAATACGTATCTTGAACAAATACCTCTTCCAAGATATCTGCTCAAGAATATATGACAATATACCTTCATCGGAGTCATCCTTGATAAATAATTGATGAGTGGTTAGAAAATATAAACGCACAGGATTAAAACATGCATGACACAAACAATTTGTATGCTTGCTGTTTAACAACCTGATTAGTCTAACGTGCCTTTAACTCTGCTACTGAACATCCAAGCAGTTTGGATAATTCTTGGTCAAAAATTACAACATGACATGATCCAGTGTCATCCAGTATCTCACAGTCCACCATGAACCTGCTAATAAAATATCAGTATTGTATAAAATAATACATATTTTTGTATGAAAATTATGACCACCGAAAGAGATATATCACATTAACATTACCTGGGAATAACAGCTTTTACGATAGCTTGGCACTTTTCACAAAAGAAACCTTTTCCATCTGGAACCACTTTCTTGCTACATTGTTTGCATGATGTGTACATCCATCCACGATCAGATCTCACATCTACAATATCTGCCATAGTAATCACTATAGATTCTTGTAATAAATAACACAAGGTATATATACAGTATCAAGATAAGAATAGTAAGAATGACAAAAATACAAACAAACGAAATAGAAAACAATGCATTACGTTATATATGCACTGCTGGTCCAGATCGTAAATCCATTATTTTTCTTGGTCATCTAAAGCCAGTAGATCGTCGGCCACAGATACTACAATTTGTGGAGCAATTCGAGCAGGTGTTTGGCCCACTGAATCCCAACACTTTTCAATCTGTGAAAATATTTTTAAAAAAGATAAATGCTATCATATACAATAAAACTTGGAATAAATGTAGACTCTATTATACTCAAACCAATATAATGCATACTTTTTGCAAAACTCTTGAACTCTTTTATTGTAGATGAATCAGGAGAGGGGAAGAGTACATGGAATTAGAGACTTTTTTTCCTTCCTGTCATGCCATTACATGTAACAAATTAGATTTATTATTGTTCAAAGGAACCCCATTTACTATGGTGTCAAATAAACAGTATCAACCTTTAAACTCCCTAACTTTGCATAGTTGAATGATAGTTCCATTATATACATAATCGCATTGAAGCAGTATAGTTTAGTGTAAAAGTGCGATTCGTTCTAATGGATCCCTTACTAGTTAAGGGATCCCTCGTTTGATTCAGATTCCGAGCAATAGTAGAACCAGTGTGGACACGAGACAATTGCTGCAAACTTCTTAGTAAATCTCCCCATGATGTACATTCTATTTTTTTCCTTCCTGTCAAAATGAAAGAAACAAAAAGAAAAAATTCCGCTCTAAACCTAAGTTTTAATCATTGACTTGGCTAAATTGGGAGAAACAACTCACAATAAGAGTGTACCCTTCATCCAGTAACTCTACATTAAGCCTAAACTGTGTGTGTCCATTGACTTGCATTCTTCTTTTTCTCCCACTCCAATTAGTAACCCGATTACATCTACAAGAGAAAATATAGATTTAGCTCACCACAAAAATTTTACATATTAATCTCATATCCAACACTTGTATAATAGCCTACCAATTAATATCGATCATCAAATTGATCGGCTAATATTTTAGACATGAACGGGATGCACAAACCAAAGTTGTTTATTTTGCCATCATCCGCATATGGTTGAACAGAAGTGGAAAAATAAAGTCTGCTCGGTAGGGATGATTAATGGTTCGGTATGAGCCTGTATTGGGAGAAACATAAAAATATGAAACCACATATGTTTTTCCCTCTTCAAATTCTTGCGAGGTCATGGAAGAAGGCAGTCATAACTGTAGCATGGATGTTTGTCACCCCGTAAGAAAATAACTCTTAGAACACAAGAAGTAGATGCCTAAATTAATCAGTAAAGCACTTACATCCTCATCCTTGAGAATCATTTCCATGGATGATATCTCGATTCTTCATGAGAGTAGCGTCCGGGCATAGCCATAATCGAACCACACGAACTTTGATTTTCCAATTTTGTCTGCATGGGTTAATAGCACGAACTGAATCAAATGCAGGAGCCATGTGAACACTTGGAGAACACTGATGGTGGATAACAACAGGAGAATTTGCTACTGAATAAATCCATGGCTCCTGCTCCTTATATAGCGAAAAATTCATTATTTTTTCTATTACTATTATATATTGCATGATCCTAACCGTGGGGCAACCAATATATACAAAAATTACTTATAATGAAATAATCTACCCACGTTCCATGTTGCATGATCTTAAACGTGGGGCAACCAATATAATAATATAATAACAAATTATTAAATGATTTATTAATTAGTAAAAGAGAAACGTGGGCCAACCAATATATACAAAATTACTTATAATGAATAATCTACCCACATTCCGTATTGCATGATCTTAAAACGTGGGACAACCAATATATGCAATAATAAAACAATTATTAAATGATTTATTAATTAGTAAAAGAGATTAATTTTTATTTTAAATGATTAAAAAATTGATGTATTTATCTCCTTCTCGGTGTGCCACTTGTCGCGCTTCTAGATGGCCTTGCAGAGACCCCTCCCTTATAATAGTAATAGATTTAATAAATTATATTTATCAAAGCATAACTTATTTATTTTTGCTAGCTACTTATGTTGTTCACATCTTTGGAAAAAAAAGTTATTATAATACTCATTCTCGTTCAAAATATAGTTTCAAACAGTTGAATGAGTCCTTTTTTTTTTTTTTTTTTTTAATAAACTTAGATTTAAATTTATTTAATCATTCAATGCCTTTTTTTTGTTTTACCTCTTATTTATTATATGTTTCTTTTATCTCTCTTTTTTCTACTCATTCTCTCTCCCGCTCACTCGGTGTTTGAAAAAAACAATTACATTATTTTTACATATTTATCATTTTGATCAATTTTAACTAACTTTTTTCAGTTATGTAATTTGTTTTCTTGAAGCTTATATTTTGGCTGTACAAACTTTGTTATAAGTAATCTTTTTTTCTGATAGGCATATAAGTATATCTTATTGGAGGTAATCTAATTTGATGTAATATCTAACACTAAATATGCACTTCTTTTAACAAGAATTTGAATTTTTTATTCATTACGTAATGGAGATTAGACCAATTTTGTTTGTTCATAGGTGGTCCATTCTGATTGATAGACATGCGGGAGGGGTTGCAAGAACTTATTGTGAAGGTCCAAACCGCACTGCCTTTTGGACCGAGAAAGGGTCGGGGATGGCCATATTACCGTGTCCCCATATACACGATCATGCCCAGCGTATCGTTTAATCAAAAATTCGAAACTGCGAAGAGCCGGCAAAAGAAAAAATAAGTTGCCAGTCCCCGCCCTTTTCCCGCTGCACGGTGCTAGTCACTTCTCCAATTCTGAATTAGTCTTCACGCTCATCATTGTTCCGTTGGCTTCCCCGGCCAAACTCGGGGATACTACGACTTAGTGAAGATGAGTACGGTCGATAAGATGTTGATCAAAGGTATCCGGAGCTTCGACCCGAGAACAAGAACGTCATCACTTCTTCAAGCCCTTAACCAATTGTTGGAACCCAATGGAGCTGAAAAACTGTCAGTAGAATATGCTTTACATCTCTTGATTCATACTCTTTTAGTTCGCTCTCTATCTGAGATGTTTAAATGGCCGTTTGGAATTACGCTGTGCAGACAATTATTGAGTGCTTGAAGCTTTCATGTACAGGGAGTTGCCTCCTAACGCTAGGTCTGGCCACAGCTTCATTCATGACCCCAAGGTCTTTTTTCTTCGGCTGTTATGTAGAGTGCTCAAACATTTTACTTGGGTGTTTTGAGAAGTAGGGCATTTCCCTTTCTTTTCCGTGTCCAAGTAAAGAAATCTCGCAGTTTCTTATTTTTCTGGGGGCCTTCCCCGGGGGTGTTGTGACTGTAGGTAGCTGGAAAAAGAAAACGAAAGGGCAGATTAACTACGATTCAAGACAGCAGCAGGTAAAGATGTCGTATGCATAAGATCTTTTCAGCTAACGCAAAAGGCATCAAGATGGAATATAAGGCGATTGAGAGTGTACTTCAGACAATCAATCCTCATACTGGGGAGGTACGATTTTTGTGGTCGTTATAATTTGACACCAGATGTGGTCTTTGTTTTACTTATTAATTTTTATTCCGTCGACTGTGCAAAAAAAAAAAAAAGTGATTCGTTTACTTTCTTGAAAATTCTATGTTGATAAAGAGCTATAAACTTTTAGTCATCTGTACAGTGTTCTATAATAGTAATGAACTTGAAATTTAAGCAGCATTGCTGCAGACTGAGGTATTAGGAAAAACCACAAATTTTCCAATGTTGCATTTTGCAGTGAGAGGCATGCTAAGGACTGTAGGTTCAACCATACAAAGTCTTCTTCTAATTATCCATTACAACTCTGAGTATTGCTGCTTTTAAAAAGCTCATTTGTTATAGTACATAATTGCCTGTTGGCTTCTCTGGTTGTTGTTTGTTGATTATGTCATACTGCTCTTCATATTCACATCACTCCTCATTTCTACGGTGCCTATCAAAGAACTAGCATATTATTTATTAGGTGTTAATAATTGCCCATTTGCCTTTTTTTCCCTTCCTGGTTCTCTTCTGCAGAAAGTCTGCCTCAGCTATAGATGTGCTGATATGGATCGAGAAATTTCTGCACTAATGGTTGTTTCAAAGGCCATTTGGAAAATGTTATATTTGTTCATCAAGATGAAGCCAATTGGCCTCTGCAGGATTCTTCAACATTGAAGAAAAAGTTGATGATATTTTTCTGCAACGCGGTTCATATTTTCTTGAAGAACTCTTCTTTCATACCAACTCTCCTATTTTGTACAGTAAGTCATATGAAACTGGACTTGTGAAAATACCCTTTCTGTCTCATCCTTAAGGGGTTTCTTTTTCATGAATCATGGGCTATTGTTGGGACTCTGTAGCTGTCTCTTTTAACTCAGGTTGACCTAGCAATCATGTAATTTGGGACTTTGAATATCAAAGCATTATAGTTATTCATTTCACAATCATTGAGATCTGTGATAATATCAAGACCTTATCTAAATCACTCCATCTGACACATTTGTATTCCTTGCCAAAATTCATCTTAGAAAAGTCATGTTCGCCCTACCTTCTCAAATCATCATTACCACCTTACTAGGGAATCAAATTTTAATGGTCTTCATAACAAGTATGTAGACAACTTGTTTAACTTAGTGCAGGGTTATATGGGACTTAATTTAAGTGCTTTTAATCTCATTTGTATCTATTCAAGATCTTTCTACATTCACAACTGATTCCTATATTTTTAGGACATCGTTCTTTCAACTTTGTTGATCTCTATATTGTAGCTCAATGGGCTTAAGACTGAAAAGTTCCATGGACCCTGATTTAACCTGTTTAACTTTACAAGGCCTAGTATTTTGAATGAATTCACCAATACCTCATGATTCATAATTATCAAGTCCTTAACTTGGGTAGCTTAATTTAATTCATTTTCATGTTCTAATTATCCATGTATCATTTATGTTTCCTTGAACTGGCAATTGTAAACGTACTTTGTTTTGGTTTCATTTCATTCTTATGCCATGGAATTCAAGTGGGAGATTTTGAAAATTCTTGGTTTAGATGCTTTATGTGCTGCAGCATTCTGCGGATGGCTCTTTTACTTGCTATATTTTGTTCTTTGCTATTTATAGTTTCATCATACATCTTAGTATGTGCTATTGTGCTGACCAGATACACAAAGGCATTAGAGGTTATAAAGAAACTTCACAAGGAACAGGCTCAAGAGATTAAGACTTACAGGTTGAAGCTTGAAAATCTTCAAACCCTAAAAGATGCTGCATACAAGGTTAGTTTCCTCTTCTCCATTTTTTGACAAAACTAACATAAAACTTGTAAATTATCTTCCCTCATTTCCATCTCTACTCTCTATGGTAATGATCGATAAATGTGGACTATACAAATTTGTAATAAATGCCTCTTGCTCCCCGGTTTTTTCCGAATTTAAATGAATTAAAATAAAAATAACATTAATCTGCAAAAATCACCTGATTAAGCATATCCTCTTAAGTTCTCTTTGATGTGCTTATTGTGTTGCAGCTTTGCGTTTTGTGAAACAATTCTACTGTGCATTGCCATCATCTTCTCCCTTGTCTATTTCTGACTGCATTGTTTTTTGTAATTCCTGGGACTTTCTTTGTTCTGGATTTGTTTGAACAAGGCATTCCAAAGCATTTATCTGAAAAGTAGGTTCTGTTTCTGTTTAATTTAACTACAATATCTCAATATAAAAAATGAGCTAATTATAAAATTGTATTGTCTTGTAGCTTCGGGAAAGCATTGGACAAGATCAAGAGAAAACAGAATCTGTAAAATTTCAGATGCAAGAATTGGATGCAAGTGTTAAAAATTTGGAAGACAAAATTCATAATGCGGAGGCAACATTGAAAGAATTGCAGAAACTGCAGGACTTGATATCAACTAAAAGTGCTCGACGAAGCGCCTTGTTTGAGGAACAAGAGAAACAGTATGCAGCTCTTAATGAAGAGAATGAAGGTTCATTGATCAGGGTTGACGGAATGAGTCAATTATTTGCTGTTATTCATGATTCAGTTTTAATTCCTTATCCAAGTTATTGCATCAAGTTATTATTTTTAGAAGTTTTACTAGGTTCCTTGAACTGGGCATTTTTATATTTTGAGATTTCCATAGTTCGTCATGCGTTTGTTTTGCTCTGACCAGACACTGATGAAGAGTTGATGGAATGGAAGACTAAGTTTGAAGAAAGAATTGCTATTTTACAAACAAAAATAAGCAAGTTGGAGAGGGAGATGATGATATTGACACTAAAAGTTCATTCCTTAAGCAAACTATCAATGATTCCATATGGGAGATAAGCAAGCTACAAACTGAAGCAGACGTAGGGTTCAATACACAAGTTGGTGCCTGTAAAGCCATTTAACGATGCAAGCTGTAATTTTAATTTTATCTCTACTTCAAATTGCTGCAGGCTCACATGTCTTTGAAGAATGAACGTGATTCCTCCATACAAAATATTTTCATTAGCATAATTTTGGGTCTCTTCCAAAGACTCCCTTCAGTGATGAAATTGCCTTAAACTTAACAAATCGTATAAAATCAAGTTGGTGGATCTTGAGAAGGATCTTCAAGAGAAAAAGGTAACTCGTTTTCTACTTCAAGATATTCTGAAATACACTTTCAATGTTTGAAATAAATTATTAGAGGGATATTTTGGGATGCGTGTGTGTTGTATGTTTTGTGCAGAACGCAAATGAAATTGAACTTAAGACAGCATGGGATCAGTACAGAATGCAATTCTCGCTGGCAAAACACTGAGGCTCAAAAACAAGCTAAAATAAGATCAAGGTTTGTGTCTAAATGCATATGTCTCTTGTCAAATGTCTATAGTTGTATGATGCTGATGGACTTATTGTACATCAGAGTGGCATTTCAAAGCGCATTGAAGAAAAGGAAACAAGCGAGATTCATTTGAACTACAAATTCCTAATGTAAACCTTACCCATATTGATGAACGGGAAAGAAAGTTGGTAAGGAATGTGCTGCTTTATGTTTGTTGTTTTTGTAGTTAATAATTGTAATTGAAGACTTTAGAAAACAAGGTTGATATTTTTTCTAGTAATTCATGTAGCGGATTGAAGTTGGAGGAAGACGACCAACTTGCTGAAAGAGAATTTGAAGCAAACATACGTCAAAAGCAGAGTGAACTATTTAGTGTAGAACAAAAAATCAAGGCTGTCAATCATGAGAAGGATATTATGGCTTCTGATTCAGAGGACAGAGTGAAGCTGTCTCTGAAGAAACTGAGCTGGAGAATCAGAAGAAAAGCATAGAAAGATGTAAGTTGATAATCTTTTTCATCTCCTTGACTCTCAGCT